AGCTGGTTTTAAGACAGAAACCTAAGGGTTTAATCTGTGTGCAATATGAGGAAAGTAATTGGATCAAGTTACAAGAAATGTTCATCTGGTGTACACAGCTCAACCCGAAACGTAAAGTATGCACTCAAATATGAGGTAGCTGCTGTTAATTTGTTCTTAATTTAGAGGTTAACATTTCTTATATGGTTTATATTCATAGAACTCACCCTGCTGTTTTGGTGTGATAACATGCCAGTTTGTAAGTACCCTCAAAACGTAAAACTCTTTAAAATGTATATTGCATCTGTCCTTCATCTCTGACAGTCAAACCAAGCACAAAATCATTCCAGATTCACCCCATGTGTGTCACTGAAGTCCTTCACCAGGTGTCATCACCAACCTAAAAAGAAAAACCTTTCTGTTTCCCTCATGTTTCTGTTTACTCATGGTCATACAGAGAAAAGGCACTAGCAGAAGCCTTTAGTGGTCACAAGTGCTGCTTTGGCATTTTCAATAATCACTGATTAGAGCTTCCCTTCTGCTGAGGTCAGACACCTATTTCTTCACACTGAACCCAGTTCTGGCATCTGCTGTAGTCCTCAGAGAGAGGGTGAGTTAGCTTCATGCAGTGAACTCAGGAGTGAGTATGAAGAATTGTAGAAGTATTCCTACGTTGCAGTGTGCTTTTACAGATTTGTTCTTTCTCTTCTTTCCAGATGTTAGGAATTTTATTTTTTTTTTTGTAATTTCATAGCTTCTGTGTGTTTCTGTCTTCTTTCAAGCCATATAGTTCTGGATTCTGTTTTAAGGCAGATTATTGGCATCACTGCACCTTTGAATCAGGTATGATAAATTCTGTATGATGTAAAAGCTAACTGCCCTGTGGTAGGGAATAAGATTATATTTGTTACTCCAGGCTTTGCATCTCTTCACCAATTTTATTTCATTGTTCCCTGAGCAGCTGCTCTTGATACCTATCCCTGTAGGAATATAATTACTCTTTTTCACTTTCTTTTGGGCTTTGCAATGCCTAAGGAGGATTTCAGAGGCTAAACTGGGAACTTTCAGTATCAGTTATACTACTGAAATACAGCTGCTTGTTCATGGTCATAGCTTTTTTTACTGCTAATAGGAAAAGAATCTCTTGTAGTTGTTAATTAACACTGCTTCAACTTTATCATTATTTCAACAGGATAACCTCAGGATGAATTTAACCCCTTGCTCTTCTAGAAGCAGTTTAAATGACTTAGCCTTGTTCAAGTGTGTAGGATGAATCGTTGGCTTGGATTTGTTAAAGGACAGATTGGTTGGTGGAGGGTGCTGCCCTGGTGCCACTGCAATCCAATGGGATTGTGGTATTGCTAGTCCCTGGGGTCAGACTCTGATTATCGCAGTTAATGGATCGCAATTACTAGGCTTGTAGTAAGTTGTAGCAGTCTGTCATGTGAGAGTCTTGATTGCTCAGAGCAAGAATGAATTGCATTTTTTGACCCATTAGTGATCTTCAATTTCATGCAAAGTATTGCTGCTTAATTCCCTTATTGAGGTTAATATTGAAAAGCTTTGCTTACTTTGAATACTTTTCCTCTTAACATTTGTAATTAACAACGGTTCAGTAGGGAGAAATGAGAGATCAATAAAGTCTCTCTTATCTTTTAATAACCACCTTGTCAGGTAAATTTTTCTTCTTTAAAAGGGCTGCTGTGCTAGGTTCATTCTGAATATGGATTTTGGGGGAGTTTTGATTTTTTTTGTTTGTTTGTTTATTTGGGGGGGGTTGGTGTTTATTTTTGTGTTTGTTTTTATTTTAGGGTTTTTGGTGTGGTTTTTTGTTTGTTTTGTTTGTTTTTCATTTTTGTTTTTTTCTGTTGTTGTTTTGAGGCTTGGCAACTTTCCATCACTTGAATGTCAGATTTGATCACTAATTCCTACTGATGTTAAAGGTTAATGGAAAGCTGTTACGTGTGTAATCGTACCTCATTGAGCAAAGGGGTCAAATAGGTTTATAGACATGAATCTCTATTGATTGCTAGGAGTATTTAAAATAATTGGACTTGAGCAATCAGATTATACAGTTATATTTATTAAATGGGGCTATATGGGGTAACTTACATATTTGACATAGATTGCATCTGATACAAGTTCTTTTTTTGTCTTAGTATGCTGAATTTTTACTCATTTCCTTATTAAAACTGAGACTAATTGGAAGAAATTTTAGGCACCAGTATATAAAATTGACCTGGAATTGATACAATAGCATGCATCTCCTAGTGAATGCATGGAGAAATGTGCCTTCTTTCAGTTATGAATGAGGGAATAAACTGGACGTTACAAGCTGGACATTATTAGTGTCAAACTGTTTCTGCAAAAGAATGTGGGTATCTCTCTAGGATAAGATGAGAAGTATGCATCACAAAGCATGAGTCATTTTCCCCTCCTCATAGCTACTTGCTAGAGGGGTAAGAAAAAGAAAAACTAAAAAATTAGAATTATGAACCATCAAGTTCCATCTAAGTCAGAGGAACCCAGTGTAGAAATAGCTTTACCACTTGGAGAGCAGAGATCTACAGTAATACCAACCACAGGTATCCTTTAGAAACCTACATCCCCACAAGGATCCCCATGTATTTCTATAGTCATTTAGAAATGCAGCAAGTATGGTCAGGAGCTAGGACCACAGAGGCCCAAAGCTTTGGGGTCCTCCTAGCCAGGAAGATGCTTTTAAACTGTAGGGAGGAAACTCAAGAGCATGACTCCAACTGCTGGCATCAAAGATCAATAACACAGAGAACCCAAAATCCACTATTTCTGAAACCATGTAATTTTTGCCTTGTTTTCCTGATTCTACGAAGACCAACTTGTTGTTTCAAGCGTTAGCCATTCACAAGTACAAATTCCAGTTTAAAATGTGCTGTTGATGCTGGGAGATATTCAGGGTTACAGTTCTGTGGAAGCAAGTGAAACTCTCTTGCTCTGCGTTAATAATACAGAAATTCATCTTGCAAAGACTTTCAAGCAAGCAGCCAAGTTGTTTGGCAATAAATAACACTTCATTTAAACTGTTCATAAGGACCCCATGTTCACTCTTCTTTGCAGTTTACACTTTGAGAAGCATTTATATTTGTGCGCTTCTAATAAGCTACAGTTGTTACCAAGCAGTACAAAGTGAATGAATGTGCCATAGCCAAGACATCATAAAATGGAAAATCTACTCAGTTAAAGCAAGTGGAAAATAACAATTTTAAGCATTTTGGTAAAGTCTTTGAGCCAAATTAGCATTGACTTTTTTTTTTTAATTTTATTTTTTTTTTCAATATGTCTTGAAAAATGATCCTATTGGGACAGACCACAGGGTTACCTGGCCCAAAATCCCAATGTCTAAGGTGACAGGAAAAGAGGCTTGCATACAGAGGTGTGTTCCAGGTAGTGCACTAACAGTTAAGACCAAAAGCCAGAAGTTTTTCTGAGAGCTCCTGATTTAATAACTATAATTTGATGGTAGTCAGTGTAATCTAACAAAAGCTGGGTGGTTTTAGGTGAGTATTTCAAAGAGCTTTTTTCATTACTTTTACTAAAGATATTTTTTTTTTTTTAAAAAAGAAAGTAGAAGAACTTCACAAATCTGATTGTGAGACAGACTCCAATCCTGCTACCAAAAGAAAGACAGCTTGAAGAAAAGTGGGCTTTTGGATCAGGAAAGGGGAAGAAGAAGCTTCCTGTTTTATTTCTAAATTGGCACTACCATAATCAACCTTACTGTTATAATTTCAAGGTGAATAGTTCACTTATCCCTGCCATCCAAGCACTACTTTTTTTTTTTTTTCATAATCCAAGCCCACGTAGTTTAATGTGTCTTCCTTTCACAAATGCATGGTTTATCAAAGGAAACTGGCAATTGCAGGCTGCAAGTATTGGAGTGGGATGTTCTACTTCAGCAAACAGTACTGAAAAGGTTAAGGCTGTTGACATTTTGATGCTATTAATTAGGTTTCAAAAACTTTGTAGTTCATTATGCTGGATAGGAATTAGAAAATCCCTATGTCTCTTAGCATGGTTATTTCAGCTCTGCCGTGGACTCAGAAAGTTAGCAATTTATGCTGAGTTATCTTCACAAGGCAGAAAAGCTTTCCTTAAGTGAAAGTTTGGATGCTGCAACAACTGGGATATCCATAGGGAAATCTCAGCAAAGTTCAGACTTCCCACATGCAGAGCCTTTGATTACCACCAGCTCTGTGCTAACCCTTAGAAACAATTGTAAGAGCTACAATGGGATAACAAAAAATCATGCATTTTTTCCAGCTCCTCTCTCCCATGTGCGGCTGGCTTGTAAAATCTTTTACGGACATCTGAAAATTATCTTGTTCGTATAGTTAAGTTTTAAGTGCTGTTTTACGGCTGGGTAAATAAAGGAGAGGGATGGAGGGATGCTTCCCATCTTCTTGCAGATCTGTTTTATCCTTTTTCAGCCCTGCTGTCCATGTGCTGCTGTGAAGAGCTGAAGCATTGTCTGATAGCTTCTCAGTGAAAGCAGTTTTTCTTGCACAATATCTTGTTTTTGTCTGAGAAGCAATTGAGGTCACACTTGCACTGGCAATTAGAAATTGATCTTCAAATAATCCACAAGCAGGGACTTGCCAACCTTCATTAACATGGCTTTTCCCAGCACTGCTGAGCTCCTGGGTTTCAGGGTGACCTGTCCATCCCCATGATCTGCCACCATTCACTTTTATTGTCTTTGGAGCTAATGAGGGAGAGAGGCTTGAGGGTTACAGGACTCAAGTCCACTGAGTCAGCTGGCAGGCATCTTGCAATGCCCTTTTCTCCCTATATTGCCTGTGTGCAAGGGTAAAACTGGAGGAAGATGTGCTATGCACAAACTAGCTCCTTGAGGACCCCTACAAAAGAGCCTGGGATGTGACCTAGTGCTGTGTTGAAGGGGAGCATGGAAAGCCAAACCTGTATAGTGCAACTAGCTTTGAGGGTAGTCATAGCAAGGGCTGAAGTAGTATAGGCTTCTTTGTGGGCATGCTGCAGCTGAAGAAGACTTCGGTGTGAGGCAAGGTAAGCTGAAGCTTTGCTGTGATGCTATGGTTGTTTCTGTACTCACAAAGATGTTTCTGGCAAACACTTGTGGCTTGGGTTGAAAATTCAGTGAGTATTTTTTGATTAACCAAGACCTTTTACTCCTTTCACAGAATGGCTCAGCAGGGAAGGACATGGCTGAGTTGCTATTGAACTGAAAGAGGGCTGTAAGACAGTTTTTTGCACTTTATAGTAAGAGATTAGTGACTTATAAGGTATATTAGATTATGCAGTAGACATTGGCTTTACTACTTCAGAGCTGGTAAAAAATACGCCTTCTCCAGAAGCTAGTTTTCCTAGGAAAAGCTACTTTTGCCAAAGGACAATCTCAACAGAAGGTACAATCTCACAGATTTGATGGAATTTTAAGGGAAAGAATATAAACAGCAGGGGGAAAGGGAAATCTTACGATTTTTAGGGGGCAGGACAGGAGACACCTCTCATTTTTTTCCTCTGAAATAATGAGGGCTTAAAGAAAAAATGAAATTTATTCTGAGGGTTATCCCATCAAGAGGCCTCAGTTCCTCTGAAATACCCACAAAGCTTTCTCATGTCTGTGCATTATGCTTCATCCCTACTGCTGGTGCTCAAAGCACCCGTTGTAGGGCAGGACCTCTGTCTGCTGAGTGCTATTCAAAGGCGGAATAAAAGGATAGCCTCTGCTGCAGCAAGTTTAAATCCCACACTCTTAGTCTTAATCTTACTTGGTATTTTGAGTCCTCCGGCAGATTTCATGACATGGGTGCTGTTGTATTGCTGCCATTGATAGGTTTCTGCAGCAAGTGGGCTTTCATTCACAACGCTGTATTAATTGCTATTATGTTTTGCTTTCTGGTTGCAGCATGTCAGTAATCTGCTACTTACAAATGTCTACTCCCTAGGGAGAAAATAAATCGCATGTATTTTTTGGAACCTATGCTGAGTCAATACTTAAGAAATGCATTTGGTAATAATATTGGCTCTAATCCTCCTGAGAGAAATTAATTACAAACAATGTAGCAAGGTAATCAGGAAGCTACTCTTACTGTGTCATTGAGCAAAGAACACCAAAGCAAGTGGAAAGTTTGGATTGAATTAAAACCAAAGCGCATGGTGTTTCCAGAGGCCAGATGGTGGGGGGGGTGTGTGTATATATATATATGTATATATAGCATATATGCTATGCTTGGGAGACCTCAAGGTAGGGAGAGAGGGAAGACAAGCTGGCTAGAGTAAAGTAAGGAATTATAGCATGATGTTATAACATGGCTGCTGATGTGCTGGTCCAAAGATACAGACCACTTCTAATAACGTTGTGGATGCTGCTCTTGAGTTAGGATGTACATGTGTGCCTAAATGCCTGTACTTGCTTGTGAGGAAAAATTGCTCTGGGTAATGAGAAAGCACGAAACACCCCATGGGTTAAAACAACATCATGATCAACAATGATGTGTTATTGCATTGTCCCTGTTACCCAACTACCTTCTTGCTTCTGTTTTTCTATTCATTTCTGGTACCTCATAGATCCCCATCCTCTCCTACCATCTTCCCTTTGCATCTGCCCTCTCCTCAAGCCTTCCTTCTCATGTAGCCAAAGAGCTGAGCTTTGTTTTGCCTTCTCTTTGCCTTCCTTGCTCAATGTTTCCCAGCACTGTAATACCAATTTACTCACCAATAAACCACAAATGAATGTGGGTTTTTTGGAGCAATTACATATGTGGGCAAAGAAAACAAGCCTTTTCTGCTTTTATCCCTGTTGCTTTATTTTGTTTGGGGTTTCTATTAGCAGCAGGACCTGTTCAAATGTCTGGAATATTAGAAGTATGTCCATATATACTAGAATAATGGGCTAAGCATAAACAAGGTGGTTGAAAGTACAGGAGAAATGCAGCTTATCCATGGCACATATTTAGCCCCAGCCTCCCAAGCACAAGGTATGGATCTCTGTGCTAAAAAGCACTACTGTTCAAGTTATGCAGGAACATATTATAGCCTGAGAAAGTGAGAGATACAAGAGCCACTTGAAAGTATAGGGGGAAATAGGAGCATCAGATCTGCTAGATATTTTTTCCCACCCTGGAAAAAGTCCAATCCCCAGTGGGACAAGGCTGGGGGACAATGGCTTAAGCCATCTGGCTGAGCCACTACATAGCTGTAAATATTCGTAAACCTCTTGGAAATGGCTGTAATGTTCACTTTCAGATAGTCACTGCAAGTGATCCAAGTTTGGTTGTTTTTTTTGTTGTTTTTTTGTTTGGTTTTGTTTTGGGGTTTTTTTGCAACATTTAAGCCTTTTCTTAAAGCTGCCAACTGTTTTTATTGGGAACCAGGTGGTTTTTTAATAGTTGATGTCCAGCTATCCTTACCCTCAGTCTTTACACAACTTTCCTTTTGCCTCTTTCTTTTCTATTTCACTTCTGTTTAATTACATCTATTATTTTAAGACATATTTTTTTTAGATCTGAAGCATCTAGGAGAAAGAAAAAACAGTTCAAAGAGAAGCAAAGAATACCAAAATCAAGATACTGCTGTTGTCTTTCAAGCAGTGACAACATTGCCATTTTTCCTTCATTTTTAAAAGATTAAAGCTGAAAGCAGAGATGATGCAAAGACTTGTGTGTGTTTAGCTTTCCTAAGTAATCACATCAATGCAATGTAGTAGATCATTGTCCTTTGGAAAAATCATTGTGTCTTGCATAGTTCATTCTTCAACCTATCTCTATAGGAGGTCTCATTTTTCCTTTGAAATACATTATGGAACAAAAATTCAAGGCTGAAATCCTTCAAGAAATGTAATTTGCTATGGCTGAATGGCTGGCTTCTAATAAGATGACTTCTTTCATGTCTGAGGTCGGTAACTTGGTAACACCTTCCATTCCTGATCTCCAGAAAGAGCCTAATGAACATGATCCTCGGAGGCTGGAAAATACCCAAGGTCTGTGTTCAAGGTGCAAGAGTAAAAAATGTGACACTGGTTTTGCAAGATGCTAGCCTCTATCTTTTAATTAGGTGGAATCCACAGATCTCCAGGCCTCCCTGAAGGTCTGACATTGTCTGCTTCCCTCTATTTAAAAAGGCCTGGATGCAAAGAAATCCCCTACTGCATTGCACCCTCTTTCTTTGCTTTATCTCCAAGTATTAACAAAGGGCTGAAGCCCCCCAGGTGGCCTGTTTTGGGTCTGATCTGCTGGGCTGACAGGCATCTGGCATGTAAGGGGGGAGGCAATGCTGTTGGAACAGGGAACCAGAATGTTCCAGGATGCTGAAGGTGCTGGGATGTTAGTAGGTTCATTATTATTAGTTTTGTATCCCCATGAGCCTGCTTCCCATGAATATTTGATAAAGCCCGAGAAGGTCACTACAGCTTGATTACTCTCCATATGGCATTTCTGCATGTCCCTGCTCTCTCTGCATGTGATTTTTATCCTCTAGCCCATGGCACTCCACCAGATCCCTCTTTTTCCCTGCCTGAATAATTCAAAAGAGGGAGGAGGATGAAGGAAAAAAAAATATAAAATGAAGAGGTGTTTTATTGTTCATAGGTAAAAACTATAGGCACTCAAACAAACCTGAGGGTGAAGCTTTCCCATGCTCTGCGCTTGTGTGTGTGTGAGTCATTACGGAAACCAGTTATATAGGAATGGGTTTCTGAACACCCTAGGTGGCCTGCTTACACTTCAGTGGGTTTTGCCAGTTTAGGCACATGAATTAGGCTGGCAAGCCCTTCAAGGAGAAGTAAGCTTATTCAGAAGTGTCACCAGCCAGTACAGAGTGGTTGCCTGGATGGAGTATGTTAACCTTGCAAAGGAGTTTTGCAGGAGAAATCGTCTCTATGTTTGCTTTTGGCTGGAAAAACCTGGCTCTGCTCAGCTTTCCTATGCCTCTGCCCCATAGAAACCAAGACTGAGATAGCTCTAATAAAGCATACAGCCCTTTTATACACATTAAGTAATCTCCATTGTTGATTAAAAAAAAAGTAATTTTGGTATTCCTTAAATAAAATAGGGAAACTGAGGCAGAAAGTGATAATTCAGACTGGACAAATGAGTCATTCTTCTATAATTAAAAATCCAGTCTTTTGATGCAGTTGAAGAACACAACACAAACTTGATGGAAATAATCTCATTATTTTCTTGCGCTGCTGTCAAAGATCAACAACTTGAAAACTCCTGGAATACAAAGTCCTTCTGACATGTATCGTGGATCCCCTGGCTCCTTATGATGTTAGCCTTGTTCTCTGCTTCCCTCTGTTTATCTGTACAGTCCAAAAAATCTTTTCTGTCATCTTGAGAGATGTGGTCCAAATGGCTGAAGCCTTCGTAGGCTGCCTGGTAAATTTGTCTGTGCTAAAAATTAGGAACAGGCTTATATACTTTAGTTAATGGGAGAGCAGCTGAGAACTTCCATGGATGCTGTTCTTCTCTCACATCCTTTTCGCCTTTAAACCAGCTGTAACCCCATCTGCATCTCTTAATCTTTTGACACAAGCTCTCTGGAGAAATATGTTGTGCTAGTACAGTGCTTGGCACACTGCAGTGGACATGCACGAGACACCACTGCAACACCAATACCCACTACTGCCATGTGTACAGAGATGAGAAAAAATATTTTGCAATTACCACTGATTTTCTCTCCCCATCATCAGGTGCATAAAGCAGAAAATGTTTGGTACAGACTCTTGAAAACCTGTGATGGTTTTAATAAATTTAAACATGCTCAGTAGATTTTCCCTAAGGGAATTACAAGGAATAAAGATAATTAATGTGAGAACTTAGCTGGACAGAACAGATGGTGTAGCAAAAGGCTCAAAATGTTTCATGTGTTTCAAAACTGCTCTTATTTGGTGCTAAAGATGAAACTGTGATCTCCTTGTGTGTTAACTCTCCACTGATTCTTTTGTGCCCTTCTCTCCTCCTTTCTCCTTCTTGGTAGGAAAAGTGCTGTCCCCAGAGCATGCTAGCTACTGTAAGACAGCCACTGAGCAAAACAAGATAATCTAG